GAAAAAAAAAAACTTTACYGTGAGAGTGGTTGAATACTGAAACAAGTTGCCCCGTGAGGTTGTTGCAATTCTGTCCTCAGAGATACTGAAATCTGACTGAGCACAACCCTGAACAACCTGTTCTGATTGTGCCTGCTTTGAGCAAGGGTGCTGGAGTGGAAGGTCATCAGAGGTCCTTCCACCTTTGACTGTTAGGAACTGCTGAATCCATAGCTGATAGTGGTGAACCTGCCCAGAGCCATGCCCTCAGGTACAGCCTGCAGCAAGCCTGAGTATGTGTTCCCAGTTGGGTGCRTATGCACATACCCATCTATTTATACGCACACACACACAGAAAATGCAGCACTCATGCAAATAGAGAGAGCATGAATGTCTGAAACCTGTTCTGTAATTGTTGAAAGCCTGATGAAAGTCTGTTGGTGGAAAATATAAACATATATACAATATGGGTCCCTACAAGTAGCTAGTCTTACACAGTCTCTGCAGTAGCTGGCACCTGAATCCCCTGCTAGTAACCAGACATACGAACCCTTGAGTACTACAGCCCCATTTCAAGGGCTAGTACTCAAATCCCTTCATGTATGCATACACGTGCGTACAAAGCTATGGATCCCTCCAGTAATTGGCCTTAACTGTTCAGTCTACCCAGTACTGGCCCTGTGAACCTCTGAGCTACCACTTACCTCACACACAGACACACACACAGCTGCAAACTGGTCTCTCTGGTAGTTGATCCAGACTTGTGACCGGGGCGGATATAATCAGGGAAACAAGTAATAAGTTAGGAGTGCCATGCCACTCACACCAACGTAACTCCAAAGCCAGCAAAGGACACCCAAGGCCTGGAGAGGGAAACCAGCAAAACATGAGAACTACTAAAGGCTCACATAGTCAAGCTACAGCTGACTCAGCTAGAAAGAGAGGCATATTGGATGMCTAACTCAAACGCCTCTATGTAAATGCATGCGGCACGGGGAATAAGCAAGAGGAATTGGAGCTGTGTGTACAATTGCAGGGTCATGAGCTCATTGCGATTACTGGAACATGGGACAGCTCTTATGACTGGAACGTGGCCATGGAGGGCTTTAGACTCTTCAGGAAGGACAGACCTAGAAGGTGAGGTGGCAGAGTTGCCCTTTACATGAGAGAGCAACTGGAATGTATGGAGCTCAGCATAGGAGAGTCCTCCTGAGGGACTTCAACCACCCTGTTATCTGCTGGAATAACCATAGAGCCAGGAACAGACAGTCCAGGAAGTTCTTGCAAAACATTGCAAATAACTTCTTGATGCAGGTAGTTGATGAGCCAATGAGGGGCCCTGCTAGACTTGATAATAACAAACAGAGATGGGCTAGTGGGAAATGTKAAGGTTGGGGCAGTCTTGGCTGCAGTGACCATGAGATGTTGGAATTCAYGATTGTGTGAGGAGGAAGATGGACAAGAAGTAGGATTGTAACCCAGGACTTCAAGAGAACTACCTTGACCTCTTCAGAGACCTACTTGGAGGAATCTCCTAGGAGAAAAGGGGGGCCAGAAGAGCTGGCTAATATTCAGGCACCACTTTCTCCAAGCTCAGGATTGGCGCATTCCTATAAGAAAGAAGTCAAACAAGATAGGCAGGATACCTGTGTGGATGTGCAAAGAGCTCTTGGGAAAACTTAAAGAGAAAAACAGAGCATACACAATGTGGAAGAAGGACCAGACCACATAGGAACAATATAGGAACATTGTCAAAGAATGCAGGGATGCAATGAGGRAGGTGAAGGCCTGTTTTGGAATCAGAGCTAGCAAGAGATGTCAGAGACAGCAGGAAGGGCTCCTACAAATACATAAGTAGCAASAGGAAGACCTGGGTCCGCTTCTAAATGGAGTGGATGCCTTGGTGATGGAGGATACAGAGAAGGCAGAGTTACTCAATGTTTCAGTCTTTACTACTAAGGCTAGTCYCCATGAATTATAGATCCTAGACATAAGAGAGAAAACTCTTGAGAGAAACAAGAGAGAGGAAGATTTCCACTGGTCAAGGAGGTTGGGGTTAGAGAATATTTAAGCAAACTGGACACCAGTAAATCTACAGGCCGGATGGGATGCACCCAAGAGCGCTGTGGGAACAGACAGGGGTTATTGTTCARCCACTTTCCATCATCTTCGAGAAGTCACGGAGAGTGGAGGAGGTGCCAGAGGACTGGAAGAAAGCCWACATCACTCTAGTCTTCAAAAAGGGCAAGAAGGAGGACCCAAGAAACTACAGACCGGCAGCCTCACCTCCATCCCTGGAAGGGTGACGGAGCAGATCATCCTACAGATCATCCCTAGGCATGTGCAGGAAAAGGTGATTAGGAGTAGTCAGCATGGATTCACCAAAGGGAAGTCATGTTTGATAGTCTTCTATGATGGGATGACATGCTGGATGGATGAGAGGAGAGCTGTGGATGTTGTCCACCTTGACTTCAACATGGCTTTCAACACTGTCTCCCACACATCCTCTGGAGAAGCCCAGGAAATGTGAGTTAGATGAGGGGAAAGTGGAATGGATTGAAAACTGGCTGAATGGCAGAGCTCAGAGGGTCGTGATAAAYGGAGCTGAATCTATTTGGAGGACTGTGGCCAGTGGTATCCCCCAGGGGTCACTACCAGCCCAGTCCTGTTCAACTTGTTCAGCAATGCCTTGGATGAGGGGACAGAGGGCACCCTCAGCAAGTCTGAGGATAATACCAAACTGGGTGGAGTAGCTGACAGTCTGGACGGCTGTGCTGCCATTCAGAGGAACCTAGACAGGTTGGAGAGTTGGGCAGAGAGGAACCTCATGAGGTTCAACAAGGGCAAGCGCAGAGTCCTGCTCCTGGGGAGGAATAACCCCAGGTGCCAGTACAGATTAGGGCTGACCTGTTGGAGARCAGCTCTGCAGAGAGCTGCGCCTGGGAGCACCTGGGAGTCCTGGTTGACACCAAGTTAACCATGAGTCAGCAGTGTGCCCTCGTGGGCAAGAAGGCCAATGGGATCCTGGCTGCATCAGGAGGATGTTGCCAGGTCAAGGGAGGGGATCCTGCCCCACACCTGGGGGCAGTTCTGGGCTCCCCAGTACAAGAGGGATGTGGAGCTGCTGGAGAGAGTCCATTGCAGAGCAACAAAGATGATTAAAGGACTGGAGCATCTATGGTATGAGGAAAGACTAAGTGAGCTGAGCCTGTTTAACCTGGAGAACATTGAGAAGGGATCTTATCAATATGTATAAATACCTAAAGGGAAAATGTAAAGAGGATGGGGCCAAACTCTTCTCTGTGGTGGCCAGTGAGGAATGGGGTAGTGGGCATAAATTGAAACACAGGAAGTTCCATCTCCATATGAGGAAGAACAACTTTCCTCTGAGGGTGACAGAGCCCTGGCACAGGCTACCCAGGGAGGTTGTGGAGTCTCCTTCTCTGGAGGTCTTCAAAACCCACCTGGATACCACCCTGCACCACATGCTTGAGCAGGGGGGTTGGACTAGATGATCTCTAGAGGTCCCTCCCAACCTCAACCATTCTGCAATTCTGTGACCTTACCAGTAGCCAAACTTCAGGCCCTAAGATAGCTAGCGTGAATCACTTGATCTCTCCAGCAGTTGACTCAGACTGTGTGGCTTCCCCAAGCCTCTCAGTCTGTTCATGAGTTACTGTGCCTTGATTTTCACCAACAATTCCACACTTGCACATCCACACAGTATGTATGCGTTTTCTCCAATTACTAGCACCCCAGACCCAAGTGCTGCATGAACTGTGGCACCCACTCCAGTTCCTTGCACTTCRGTATCCATCCATACAAAGAAACTAGAGTCCCTTCACCCTGAGAGAAAAGCTAGAATTTAAGTTTAATAAGACGTCAGGACAGCACTGATCAGATGCAGGACAGAGCCTGGCACACATAACTACTAGTGTGCTGCTTACTTGCAGCTAGCGCTTCCCCCCCCACCATTTTCTCACTTTATTTTCCCCCACTGCTTCTCTTTRATGATGCCCTTTTGCTGTATTTGATCCTTCCCCTACACAACCCCAAAATCTCACACAAACACCACTTCTCTTCCCTGGCATTCCATAAGCCGTTCCATACCCATAGGGCCAGCAACTCCAGGTCAGTCTGCAAGGAGATGAAGGAGATTCATAAAGTCTCTCCCATTGATTAAGCTTGATGGGTTTCCCTAGGCAGATAATGAAGCTGATAATGGTGGAGCAATAGGGGTGAGAACGTTTCTCCTCCCAGCTGTGTCTTTCTGTGCACTTTTGTAGTTGCAACTACCAGCCTCTAATTCTATAACCTAACATGAACCATTCTAAGAAGTGATGTTTAAAAACCAGCAAGTACTCAGAAGAAATTAAAATGAAAGTAAATTTGTTTATTGCTTGCTCATCCTATAGGGACTCTCCAAGCATTTCCTGGATAAATTTGCACATTCATTAGAGACTGCTCAAAAAACTGGCACAAGAACAGAGTGGGGCACAGTAAGGGTGGTGTGGTAATCTTCAATGCTCCTGCACTCCAAAAACCGAGTTTCAGATGCAGTTGTAGAGACAGTTGTATGCTAAAAGCTGTAAGACTGACTAAGTGTCAAGCACAAACTTTCTCTTTGAGTAACCATCACTAGCAAAGCTAGCACAGCATGCAAGAAAAAAAAAAAAAMCACCAACCAAAAAACCCAAAAAACAAAACAGTACTCCTGACCCCTTGGTTCCAGTTTGATGCAAGTGGATTGTAATACCCATGCCCTCACGACACACCAAGCAGGCTATGGTCTCGGTGTACTGAAATGTAATCTTTCATTTATTTAGCTGAGAAAAGCTACTCTCCAGACACAGAAATATAAAGAGAAAATTAAACAACTTGAAAAGGAGACCGAGAGGTTGAAAAAGACCCTTTTTGGCTTCCTAATACCTCAGGAGTCTGGGTGAAATAGCAACTATACATTCTTTACTGCCTAATCTAACCATTCTCRCAGCCAGTTGAGCAAATACAAGAGACACACATTAATGAAAAAACACACATTTTATTATATGCAAACAGTGGCTGGACAATATAGTTATCCAGAAAGTTTGTTCAGTTTGGGAAGTTCTTACCAGAAAATGGCATCTAGTATAGTAACAAGCGGAGCCAGACAAGTCTGTTGTTATACTGAAGCTCGGCACTGAACAGCACTGAAAGCTGCCTGGAAAAGGGAAGCATTTCTCAGCCTGCTATTTCTCATCCACATATTGAGGCACCTCCTTACTGTGTGCTGCCAGCTCTTTTGACAGTCTTTATTTGTAAACAAACACATTCTTTGGACTAGTTTTCTACTCTGGTGCTCCACCTGGCTGCCCAGAAAACCCCACTGGGAACTAATTCAATTCCCAGGTTGGGAAGAGAGCTTAAAATAATAAAAAAATAAAATAGAATAAAATAAAAGAAGAAAGTAGAAAAGGTACAGGAGGTTAGTTTTTTTCCAGCAACTAGAACAGATTCTCAATATGCTTTGTATTCGCACTTTGAACAGGAAAGAAGAAAAAAAATCATCCTTGTAATAAGGTGACAGAAATAAAAAAACAAAACTGCAAAGACAGAAGCAGTGTTGAGACAGAGGCTTCCACCTTCTAATGTAAAATACCCCATCTTGGCTCCATAGAGTACAATGCCCAGCACCTGCCAGTAGGTCATTCTTTCTACTTCCACCAGGTGGTGGTGGAGATCTGGTCTTACTCAAGAGCTCTTGCTCCAAGAATGCTACAGAAACAGAGCACGTTTGTCCACCTCAGTCCCCAGCTTGGAATACGCTGTGGCCAAGAAGGTAGTGACTGCAGAAAGGGTGCTTCCTTGGCAGGTGCACAGGCTGAAGTCTAGGAGGATCCTACGTGAGGAAGGTACTGCAATGGGAGGGTCTCCAAAAGGTAGGCATCTGCCTTGCCAGGCAGAGGGGCAGGACGGTAGAGGGGAGGGAAAGAGCATTGGGTGGAGGGGTTTAATTGGCTACTCCACTCCGAGTGCCTCAGCGTGCTGTTTTGGCACGAGCAGTGTGACACTTCATGCACAGTACATGCCCATCTAGTGGGAAACAGCCATTCTCATCTGCTTCAATGGACAAGGGCTTCCCACAGTCCTAAAGGGGAAGAAAAACAAAGACAGAGCTAATTACAGGAAACAATATGGCAAGTGTGGTCAAGGATTAGAAACGCCATACTAGATCAGGCTAATGGCCCACACAGCCCAGGGTTTTCTCTCTGACGGTGCTAACGGAAGATGCTGTTTTGGGAGAGCACGGGAGCACAGTCCCTTTTGTGATCTTCTCCCTTCATGCTCCCACTGTATAACCTGCTGTTTTTTACGGATGTTAGAGGCTATAGCCCTGCACAGTCCTTGTTCAAGGACCTCAGGTTGGTGAATGTCTAATCCTTTTCTGAATCTGCTTTATAACATTCTTATGTAAAATGGACCTGAGCTGGAAAACACTAAAATCAAAATAGAAACCAGTTGATGATGCTAAGGATTTGGGGGCAGAGAAAGGAAAATAAATAAATAAATAAATAAATTGGAGATATGGGAGGAATGGGGACAGGGTTACCTCACACTTGTAACATTTCATGTGGAAATTTTTTTCCAGTGCCACCACACGCACTGTCTCATCCTTTCCAGGCTCTGGCATGATAGGCTCGCTACAGACTGAGCAACGTGGAGCATATTTCCTGCAACACACAAAATACAGATACCATGATCACTGTGCTGGCATTCAATGCAGGTTTCTCACTCTGACACAGAAGGACTAGCAACAAAAGAATAATAAATCACAGAAAGATTTAGGCTGAAAAAGCCTCTAGTTCAACCTGCCCACAGAAAGGCAATCTTCAGAGCTAGGACAGGCTGCTCAGAGTCTTGCCTAGGTGATTTCTGAATATATCCAGCATGTCAGATTCTCCAGTCTCCTTGCACCTGCACTAGTGCTGAAGCACCTTCAGCAGGGAGGGGTTTTTCTTTATGTGCAGTAAAAGTTTCATCTGCATCTTGTGCCTGTTGCCTCTTGTCCTATCTTCCTATGAAGAACTCTGTCTCCATTTTCTTTAGCATCCTACTACTCAGTGGCTATAGACAACAAGAGCTACATTTCAACACCCTCTTCTGCAGGCTGATAAAACCCAGCTCCTTCAACCTCTCCTAACACATCAGGTGCTTTGGTCCCCACTCAAGACCTCTGAAGCAACCTGAAGACTGCCTGCAGATCATCARCATCTCACTCATACTGTAGGGCATTACCTGGAAACAGCCTTCCAGACAAAGCCTCACTAGCACTAAATGGAGGTTTACTAATACAGCCCAGTACACAGTTTATCTTCACTGCTATGGAGCTTCAGCACTGACTCACTTTTATCTTCATGTCCGACAAATCACAGGGACATCCCAGCCCAAGCCAGCTATTTTTGCAGCCAAATTAAACAATTCGAGAAAAAGAGAACCCTCTTTCAGACATCTCACGAATGGGCTTTCTCCATACCTGTGGTAATCATCCACACAATGAGGCTGGTTGGCCTGGTCCACGATAAAAGAGGTCCCCTCAAGAGGTGTGTGGCACATCACACAGGTGAAGCACTGAGGATGGTATGAGTTACCAGTGGCTTTCAGCATACGATCTGTGATGGTTTGTTTGCAGACACTACACTTCTCCAAGGTCCCCTGGGCCCAARGGAAACAAGCAAGACACATTAATAAAATCTCTCACCCTCAGGATACTACACCACAAACAGGTGAAATGAAAAGCTGCAGGTACCTAGAAGGTATTTGGAAGGAAAGCAAGGGATAGCCACCACAGGGAGCTTGGCTTTCTCCAACAGCCCTCTTCCTAGTTACTTACAGCATAGCAGTCCTCACAGAAAGGCTTCTCATCCACATTGTAGAACTGCTGACCCTGCAGCTGCTTCTCACATTTGAAGCAGGTGAAGCACTCCACATGGAAAAGGCTGTCCAGGGCTCTCACAGCTGGCTGGGTTCTTGAAAGGGGCTTCCGGCAGAAGCCACAGAGCTCTGCCAGTGGAAGGAGAGAGGGGTAAGAGAGGAAAACCCACCACAGTCATGGTCCTGCTGCTGTCCACTGAGGAAACGCACCAGAAGTAGTGGCTTCTGCTGGAGGTGGGTGCTCCATATCCTTCATTAGTTTTTGAGTCAACATCTCCAGCTCTTCTACTTCCTTCATGGTCAGAGAAGAATTTCCCCTAGGGGGATCTGCACTGGAGCCTGTGGGTCTACGCTGCAGGAAGACGAAACATTCAATCCCAAAGAAAACATATGGAGAAATCACCTCCTGCCCTGTCCCTAATAAATCTATTTCTCTCTCTCCTTTACATCTCCTCCCTCTCTCTATGGAACAGTCTTCCATGCACACTTCCATGCACACTTCCATGCCGATTTCTTTCCACCCTTACATGAAACTGTGTGCCTGTCCCACCACAGTGCCTAGCTCTCTCTCTCAAAAACATAAAGATGCCCTTTTCCAGATGAAGAACAACTCTCCTTAGCCAGGGACAGACACTCCATTCTCCTCCAACCTCAGTGATTCCGTTCTTGTCCAAAGACACTGGTGTCATGACTCTACTCCTTACCATGTCTTTCGTAGCAACAGGCTGTTCTGCAGGACGCGGCTTCTCCTGTACTTGAGGTCTTTCCCGCTGCTGGGCATAGGTGAAATTGGGAGGCTGTGGCCGTGAGGAGGGACCTGTAGGTGGAGGGGCTGTGAACTGAGTCTGAAGGGAGGTAGAATTTCTTACGGAGTTTGAAGGAGCCATGGAAATGCTGGCACCTGGCTTGGACCCAGACTTAGAAGATCCAGCAACAGGAGGTGGGATGTATTTAGGGGCAGGCTGAGAAGGAGGGAGGGAAGGGGGGGAAGGGACTGGTGCTGGAGGCTCTCTGTGCTGCTGTGGGGCTGCCCATGGGGCTGGGGCAGGGATTGCATCCACTTCAAGGGGCTTGGAAGATAAACTTCCACTTGGCTTTGGAGTGAACTTGGATGGAAAGGAACGAGGAGAATCTTTGGGTGCAGATGAAATTTCCACCAGGTCTTTTGGAGTAGACTGTCTCTCCAGAGAATCTGTGGATCCTGGAGATACCTGTAAACGGAAGAAGCAGAAAGAAACATGCAGTCATTGACAAAGAGGAAGAGAAAATATGCCCTCTCCATCAGTAGTCAATAATTTTCCCAGACCCACGGTAAGAGTCCCCACACTACCATATATTTAGCAGTTCTGAAAAGTTGCACAATCTTTGCTTTCTGGTCCTCCAGATAGGCTTTCTCTTTATGGTTTATCTAGACATTTGATTTCTTGTGGAATCCTTTGAACTACCTCTGTTTGGCAAACCAATCATCTCTCCTTCAACCTGCAACACACTGGAGAGCAGCTCACCCGGGATTTGAAGGGGTCATTCTTCTCCATGTCATCCAACATTACGGACAGTGAGGAAAACTCAAGATCAATGCTGTTCATCTTGTCACGTACCTACACAACCATCCATGAGGAAAGAGGGAGCAGAGCATATTACAGGAACAGCCACAGACCCAGGTGTATCCCCTACCAGATCAGATTTTGACACCTGCGGCTGATCTCCTGGCCCTGAGCAGATCTTGAATGGGCAAGGATGAACAAGGCATAATCACCACAGTCTACAAGTTGCAGTGCATGCACAAACCTAAAGAGACTCACAGAAATATCTGGATGGAAAGAGACCTCTGGATATCTCTCTTCCACTGCCCACATGAAGATTAACTTCAAATCTAGGTCAGTTTGATCAGCATCTCATCCAAGTGTTTTCTGAACATCTCCAAGATACAGATTCTCCAGCCTCTCTTGGCAGCTCTGTCACATGAGCTATCCTTAGAAAAGGACAGGCTGTTCTTCTGTCCAACAGGAATTTCCCATACTACATCTTTCTCCTGTTCTCCTGCTGTGCCCCACTAACAATCTGTCTCTGTCTTCTCTCTTAACTCTCCTTGAAGGCTGCAATTAAATCTCTATCTCAGCCTTCTGCAGGCTGAGCAAACACAGCTCCCACATCACATACTCCACCCCACCAATAATGTCTATCACCCTTTTTCGGACTGCCACTAGTTCAATATTCCTCAGTGGGTATCACAATGGGAAACCCACCTGAAAACAATCTTCCAGATGCAGTCTTAATAGTGAGAAACAGACAGAAAATAGCCACTTCCATATCTAACCTGACTATACTTTTGCTAATGCAGCCTAGTCTTTGATTGGCCTGCATTGCCACGAGGGTGTATTACTGGCTCATGTTCAACCTTCTGTCCACCAGGCCTTATTTGCAGAACTGTTCCCTGGTCAGATGACTGTGGCCTCAACTGATGCACAGGGCAGTTCCATCCCAGAAACTGGGCTCTGCATTTGTCTGTGCTCAACTTCCACAACTTACTCCACRGCATCTTACGGAAAAGGACCATGATGGAAAAAGTCAACTGGCAAAAAAATGGAGTAGTAAACTAAGTAAACTCCCCCAGATCTCAGTGCTTCCTGCTGCTGAGTCTAGATAAGAGGAAAAGCTGTCCCAACTCACAAATCTAGAGCACCACAAGAACTTACACTTCCCCGGACCTCACTCACCTGTGGGGCAGGTACTTTGCTCATAGGTCCTTCATCAAACATTGGTGGAGGAGGAGAAGGAAAGACATCTTCTGGGGCTGGGGGAAAAGGCTCTTCAAAGGGAGGTGGGGGTGGCGGAAATGCAGTGTTCGAGGAAAGACTCGCATCATCTCCTGGAGGAGGYGGCGGCGGCAGTGGAAGCTCTATAGGGAAGAATGAGAATAGAAGCAGTTTTGAACAGTTTCCTACRTAGCCTAACAGGGATTCTTGGAGGTATCATCAAGGGATCCCCACTATCCATATAGGAGAGCTGAACTCCACAGCCTGTCTTTCACCTATATGCTTATGCACTCGGAATATATGAGGCAGCTATTGGAGTTAGTCACTGAAGAGAGTTACCATTGTATATGTTCTTGTTTAGGGATTTATGACTTAAAATGGCTTATGATTTATGACCCTTCCTACTCCTCTCATCCTTTTGTCCTTAGCATGTGCTTTGCTCACCACTAAGTGCCTCAGAATGCTGAATCCACAACAGCACTTGAAGGAATGACAGCTGACAACATAAGGGACAGAAGAGCCCATACTACTATGGAGTAACAAGCTGGTACCTTGCAGCTGGTTACTAAGCACTGCAAGCAACAAACAGGGGAAAAAAAAAATCAAATCAATTTACCCTCATGCATATAGGGCATCTTTGATGCCACTTCATTTTCTGGAAGATGAAAGCAGCTTCCCTTTTGGAGACTAAAATTATCCTGTGCCTGGCATAGATTAGGACATGAGGAAGTTTTCAGACCCCTTTTAAGCAGGCTAAAAAGCATCTCTCTCCTAGTAGAGACTATTGCTTCTGCTTTCCACAGCACAGTCAAATACATGTGAATCCTCTTCCTTTCACCATATGTGGGAGGAAGATGTTCTCTCATCACCCAAGCAGCAAAGAATAAAGACAAGCAGACAACTCCTACACTCCTTCTCCTAAATATACAGGAACACTACTGTTTCTAGCTAGCCTCAACAAGCATAAGGCTAAGAGTTCAGCAAACATCAGACTGCATGGTCTCTATAACCAGTTGTAGACCAATCTTCAACCGGACTTATCAGTAGTCTAAGGGAAATGATATTGCCTGTTCCAGAAAGTGAAAACTTAAATTTTTATTAGCCAGTGGAATGCATAAACTGCACTGGTATGCAGCACTTCATTTTATTTCACAAAATTTCTTCTTATGGGGAAAAAGGATAAATATGTTTTTTTTTTTTAACTACAGTTTTGGAACAAGACTGTATACATTTATTTTTTGGTCTATTTAAAAGAAAATTGCAGACATGAAAACCCTGATTTGTTATCATGCTATTTCAAGCAGATGCACTAAAACACTGGTTTATAAATTATTCACTTTCACMAGAGTACCCCATAAAGTTATTATACCAAATTTATAGAATGATTGGTATCAAACATGGCATTCCTATAGTGATTTTAACTCTGCCATCCTGTAATTTAATACAAACAGACCAGTTGCTACGGCTTTACATTATACTGTTGTTTGTTTTCGGAGCAGATAGGAAGGACAGAGAAGGATCGAAGAGTATCAGATGCATTTGTCATCACATGACTGTGTTTTGTTTTTATCTGTACTTAAGATCTTTTGCCAGTACAGCTTTGCTGGCAGGCCTTACTAAGTGGTAGTATGCAGCTTAAGCCAAATAGCTATTTTTCTAACCTCTTGTCAAGTCAGTTCCTCCATAACACACTTTACAGGGGAAGGGAGGAGTGGGGCAACAGGATCCAATCTCCCACCCACACTACTTATTGAACAAATAATTATTAACAGCATCCAACCTACTGTAGTAATTCAGTATTTGGGTTAGAGACCTTCCCACCCACACATCCCTAACCCGTAAAGCTATGCTAGTAAAACCTAAAGCCCAAGATGGACCTTGGAWTACAGACACAGAACTCTAGGCAAATGCGCATAATAGAAAGGTCACCTAAGTTAGCACTTGAGCAATTCTAGGAGACAGAGGCATCAACCTACTGGGGCCCAAGTGATTTTTGCAATGGAAACAACAGCTCACTCATTTGTCTCCTCAGCACTTGCCTTCCTGACATCACATCAGCTGCCCTGCTAACTTGGCACAACAACTGGGCAAACACTGGTGTACACTAGACAATAAAAAATAAGCCATTTAATACAGCAGCTCCATTATCTGAACGTATCTGTCCTGGTTGAGGTGCTTGCTGACAGGGCCCTGGGGTAACATGCAGCATTAAGCAACAGCTTCCTACTGAGATTTCCAGTGGTCCCCATGCTGACCTATTCCAAACCAGTGGCTATGCCACCAGAAGCCTTCTGCTCCTTAAAGATAAAAAGCGTATTTAAGAAAAAAAAAACCCAACCAAAACAAAGAAAAAACAAAACCACTAAAGCAAACAGTCTTTCTACACAGGAAAACACACCCAACCCAAGCTGCTAGCAAAAAAGATAAAATTTAGCTATACAAACGCTAAATCTCACTTCCTGTTTATGACAGCTGCCACCCTCTTTTCATGCAGTTACTTCTTCTTCCCTACCTTCAGCAACAAAGACTGCAAGTGCAGAAAAGGATCTTTACAGTGCTGAGATGAATCAACAAGAAAAGGAACAGTGTGTGATTCATCACCACCAGGGACCAACTTCCCTGAAACATATTTGCTCTCTTACACGCTGCCCAGAATCTGACCGCTGTTGCACAACTGTAGTGTTACAGAATACTGCTAAAAATCCATTTCATTCCTCCAGCCTTATTAAGGCACCAGAGCAATATTCACCTTCTCTGCTCCATCCCTGATGGAGATATTAAATCTTTTGAGACCAAAGGGTTTGGGATTATTTTGAGCACTTCACAATCTTTGTATCTCACTGTRGACTCTGCAGAAAAACCATCTTCGTTTATAGCACTCATGTCCCTAGTTTCATGTTTAAGTCTTATTACAGGCCACACACCCTGAGCATTTTGAAAGACATTCATATCTGTCATGTCAGATCTCACCTACCTTCTGCCACCATGTATGTAGAGGCTGATGGAATCTCTCCCACTTTCCCCATCTGAGCACGCTGGGCACCAGCTCCAGGAGGCTGTGGCAGCAATGGCTCCGATACACCYCCAGTTTTGAAGGGGTTCACCTTGGGTTTCGGGGCAACCACAGGTGCAAACTTCTTCTGCGGGTTGTAGAAGGATGGAGTAGAAATGTTGATACTGACTGTGGATGTCATGCGGGCCCCTGGGGCACCTGAGGAAGTCATCTTCTCAGCACCTGGTGGGAGAAATGAGAAAAGAAACAGATATGAAGTCACCCTTGGGGCAGAGTGGAAATAAATACACAGGAATAGGTAAAACAGATGGATAGGGGAGCTTATATAAGGGCAAAGACTAGGGGACCTGAATAGAATAGTACTTAAAGCACATGAAAAAGAAAGAACAGAAACTGCAGACAACTCAACTGAACCAGAACAGCTTATCATCTTTACTCAGTACATCACTGACCGCAGAGAAATCCTTGCTAGACACACACTGCCATACATAAAAMCAAGCTCTTTGCTGAATGAAAAACCCCCACACATATGCAGAATAATGAAGCTAGTCACYAGAAAGCCATCTGCGGAGCCAGCCCGAGTTGTACTCCTTGCTCCACATACCCCAAGGAGGGCATCCTCATCCTCATACACACCATCTCAAGAGTAAAATTAGTGTTCCCTCCCTCCCACCTCCCACCACTCCCCTAGCAGTGCCGCCTGTTTCCTCCTGACCTCATCCTGTGGCATCCCCAGTAACATCCCCCTTAACCTCTCCAACCACGGCATGTCACCTGCCTTCTCCATGCCAGTCCCTTTACCTTGAACCCCCTGCATGCCTTGGGAGCACTGGCAGCTGCAACAAATGMAGAATGAAAGGCGGGCTAAGGGATTCTCAGCATCACATTCCCTGGCACAGCCCTCTGTGATCTTGTGCTTTGCTCTCCTTCCTGTGACTGGAGTCAGCAACACAGGCTCCCTCTGCCCCTCACTGGCTGAGCCAGCCACGTGCTCTGACTCCACCAGGAAGCAATTCTGGAATGTGTGGACAACGCGTATGGAGCCGCTCCCCCCGCAGCCTCCGCTGCACAAATGGCACCTTCAAACAATTCCTTCTGCTACTGCAGACAGCGCTCAGCTCAGGCACAGCCGAACTGCAAGTGATACAGCCACTGTCCAGTTGTGCAAGGAGAGCCCGTGGGATGCAAGAATAGCTCAGTCAGCTGAATGCGTGCGAGGGGTAAGTACTCCACTTACTACATGCAGGCATGCAAATCCTCTTTCCTTTCCACCACCAAACTCGAATAACCAGCAGCCAGCCCCACTAAGCCGGCCACTGCAGGAGCCACAGGTCTCATGACAAGGGCCACATTTCTAGGATTCCTGCAGTCCCAGAATCCAGGCCAGAGATCTCATCTGTGCTAAAAAACTCCACAAAGCCAGATGCTTTGTTGCAAGCTCCGACATGGCCTATAGCCCTCCTAACACCCGGGCRCAATAGCGCTTCCACTAGCAGAGGGGCTCTGTGCCAGCATTCCGAGTTGGCATGGTTGAATCTGCAACCGTCTGAAATGCCAGCCTCTCTCACACAGACAATAACAGCTGCTGGGACAACCTTGGCGCCACAAACATCCGCCTGCCGCTAACTGACCCATTGCTGCTGAGACCTGTATGCCCATTTCCAAGTACTCAGTTCAGCACAGCAAGATACAGCTACCTGTACCAACTACTCCAGGTCGCAAGTGTGCACAGACATAAACTAACATTATGTCCACATTGCTGCACTTTTTGTTTCCTTTGTGCAGCCCTAGCGAGTTAAACACAGCTTGACAAATTGTGCTGGGCTATTCAGAGTGAGTAAGAAAAGGCTGCAGTAGTAAGTGTCAGCCAAAGATCACTGCTCAGTATACCCAGTATGACCCAGTGCTGAAAAGATGCTAAGGCAGAAGGGCAATTAGGAGCCCTGTTCCCCATCCCTCAGAGTGCTAGGGGATCAGACTTGCTCATCAGAAGGAATAGATTCTCTACCTCAAGCCTGCAGCTTCCATATAAGTTAAGCTTGCTCTCAAGATCTTCAGAATTTCTTTAGAGATTCCACCTGATGGAGGCACTTAAACCATCTTGTGCTACTCTATTCCACTATGCAGCAACAAACCACTTTGTAGTAGCTGTAGTGGAATTAGCTGGGTTATGTTCAAACTGTGTTGCGTTCATTCCTGCTTGTGATCAGGACACCACAGTGGCAGTCAGTTCTGATCATGATCTGTGCTGAGGTTAGTCAAACCAGACACAATCTGGGGATATCAGATCACTCCAGCCCCACTCAAAAAAAAGCACCAGCTACCAGCTTCACTATGAGCAGCTGCTGTCTTCCTGACCCCAGAGCAGCTCATTTCTCTGTATGCTGTCAGACTTGAGACAGCAAGTCTCCTTTCTGTTAGGAGCTGCCTCCATCTAGCAGCTGCCCCTGCTCATCCKCACTTCACTTGGTCTGTCCACCCCCTGCACAGACCAGACTGAGAAGGCCGCCCTTTCTGAGCTTCCCCCCACTGCTGCCACCATTTAAGTCTTACCAGAAGCACATATTTTACATGAGTCTTGTGGCACTGTTTGTAAAACACCGTGGAGAAGGAGTGTCACACAGGCAAACCTAATCTCAAATCCACCTCCTCACATTCTCCCTGAGGGGAGAGATTTTCTTCTTGCAGCAACAGCACTTAGGTGACTCAAGTGGAGCTCTGAAGAAATGTGTCCCCACAGGATGAAGTTAGAACACCTAGTTGCTTCACTTACTCTAGCTGAGAGCAAAGAGATGTGCCAGGAGAGAATCAAGTACTATCTCCCTCATCCAAGCAGGGCCACCTCTCAGAAGGTCCCACAGTGCACTGACCACCTATTGTATATCCAGTCAACTTTGCGTTCCCTTTCCCAAGGCTCAATTCCAAAAGTTCAGCTCCTTTCGCGGGGGAGGGACAGAAGAAAGAACACAAGGACAGAGAGCACTGAGTGTTGTTTTCCGGCCCCCCTTGGCAGAAAGCAGTTGTGGCTGAAGCCACACAGGGAGACCTAGTAAAAAATAGTCCACTGTGGTTTCACACTGCCTCTGTACTTCCCCTAGGCACAACCAGCCCCTACTGCCAACTTCCTTCCAGCGGAGGGGTGCAGAAGAAAAGCTATTAACAAAAAATACATACAGGAATATGAAGCCAACAGAACAACTGGATTAAAGAGTTAGGCTTGTTTCCACTCTTTCATGCAAGCTAATTCTGGAGAGTTCTCTCAGCCTAACCAGAAATTGTAAAGCTTCAAAGAGTGCAAAGTCCTACCTCACAGCTTGTGTAGCTGATAGAGTCTGCTGGGGAGAAAAAAAAAAAAAAAAAAAAGGCAGGGGGAGGGGGGAAGGGGGGCATTTGGGGCTTCAAGCTTTTCCACCTACCCTGGGCTTGGCTCTTTCCTGAGCTCTGTTTGAGGCAGATAGCCCCAAAGCTATGCAAACACATTTAAAATGCTAAGAAGTTCCAGGGATTTGCTAGCACTTGCTTCTTCACTGTCTCAGGGCTTTCCCAAAGAGACAGAAACTTATGAATTAAACAAATTCCATGCACAAAGACTCTCAGATTCCTCCCACTTCAGCACATCTGGAAAAAGGCTCCATAGGTGTCTCTCTCATTCGTATGCACACAAAAGCCGGATTGTCCCGATTAAAACAAGGCAGCCCCCTCTTCCCCCTCCAGCTCCCTCTCCCTCACTGCTAGGGCTCTACAGGAATGTTTAATTGACTCCATTTCACCGGCAGGGAAGCGAACTCACCAGATTCGCACGCACGAAGCCCTCAGCGCTGAGCAGCACTGCGCAGATGGGTGAGGGGTGAAAAGGAGGGAGCGGGGGGAAGGTACGACCATAAATCAGCTCTGAAAGTCTCCGAGCGACTTAGTGCAAGGCAGGCAGCCTCCGAGCCCCGGTGGGAGTGTCAGGAAGTCAGCATCCCCCCTCCGTACGCACCGCAAGCGCATTCCGGGCTGGAAGGCAGGACTGCAGACAAAAGCCTTTTCTAAGCGAAGGCAAGGGACTCACCTTTGGGCAGAGGGGCTGCGAAGGAGCGCCGCGGGGAAACGCCGTCCCTCGGCCCACGAGTTCAGGTGGCTGCAGGAGCGCGGCCGCGGAGAGGGGCGCCCGGCTCCCGCTGCCCCCGGCCCGGCTGCCAGCAGAAAAGAGGGCTGGGGGAGCTGCTGAGCCCAAACACTTCCTACCAACTCGCAAAAAAAGCCTCGCCCAGGCAAACTTGTTTGACCATATAAGGCGAGAGGCTGTGCGAGCAGCTGAGCTCACTCGCTAGGGAATGTGGCAATGAGGTAACGGGGCCGTGCGCGCACCGAGAGGGGAGCGGGCTGCGCGCCGGCAGCGCCGGCTGCCGCCCCGCGGGCCCCGGCGTTTTACACGCAGGGCGATTTATTGGTGTTCCTGCAGTCGCAAAGGGGACGTGTTGCTTCGGGTTTTCCCACTCGCCCCACTCCCGGCGCCCGTCCCGTCCCATTCCCCCCGGGAAAGGCGCCTCGGCCCGCGCTCGCTTTCCTCGGCTCCCGCAAATGTCATGCTCCTCCCTCTCTCCCTGCCTCCAGAGCTACCCACACCCCGTGACTTCACTTCCAGCCGCTGAGCTGGAGTTGAGCAGAAAGATTAGCAGCCCGGGTGAGTCAGGGTCCCTGCTGGCCGCTCGCTTGCAAGAAGCAGTTGTAAAAGTATCTGACTCACGCACCACGCACTGGGCAGAGAGTAAAGCAAACCTCTGACACCTCCCCAGCACACAAAGAGTCACTAGGCTTCTCATACTGGCTGCAAGGCAAAGGCTAAACTAGTTTAACTCGGAGATTAGGCGCATGAACTTCTTTGCTAGGTTGCCTTTTGCTGCACTTTGGTTTGATTTCCAGTGCTGGCTGGGGTMTCAGTCCTGCTCTAGAGCTAGGAGAGCTTTACCAACAAACCAGGGCATGTAGCGCAAGGAAATCTCCATGCCGTGCTGGACATTCTAATACTGTCACTCTTCTAGTGCAGACAATCCCTTTTCCCTTTGTTAGAGGAAAAGATATCAGTGTAAAACCAAAAAGATGTGTTGTGGAATCACCAGCCTCTGGAATATGCCAGCACCCCTCCCACATCAGCTTGTCTTCACAGTACTTTAGTCCATGAGTTAATCTTTACTCCAAAGAAAACAAAGAATATCTCAGGCTGACGTTTAAAAGAGATTATATGAATAAATAACCCTCCCCTTCTCCCTCCCCTCACCCCCCTATTTCTGGTCAGATGTCCATAAATCCAAATGCTTACACATTTGATTTTATCAGCAATGTGATATGTTCTTAYTGCTGGCAGTGTAGAAATATTTTTTATCCAGTGATATAGATTTTTTTGTCTTAAAAAAGCTATTTTAAGTAGGATCATTTCAATTGTCTGATTTGCTCTTCTGTCTCATACAGTTTTAATGGAATGACTGTTATATCAGCAAATTGTGGCATGAATAYGAACAGCAGAACAGCAGAAACAGGCAATGAGGGCAAGGAGGATGGTGTGGGACAGATTTTTAAGTTAGCTATGCTGCTGAAGCCAGCGCACTGTATAACTACACTCCAAATTCTTTCATTACCTCATTATTCCCATAGGGACCTGCTCATGGAAGCAGATCAAGCAAAGCGGGGCTAAGACAAGGGAAAAGCACACCCTCTTAGACATTTGTGTTAACTTGCACTGATTCTCAAAYCAGAATACAAATAAGCAAAAGATGTTAAATTTGATTTCATGCTTGCCAGGTATCTGATTAAAAGTTTGTGCTTTTGTCGTCAGAAATTAATATGAGCTGCTTTCCCTATGCTAGTTCTCATTCCTCCAGAAACAAATTAAGAACCTCCCTTATGTTAATAATCTTCCTGCATGCAACTCCTGTCCTGCTTGGAAGGGTGTATGTTTATCTCTTGCAATATTATCACTGTATATCTGTGTATTGTTACAGTGAAGCTCTTAATTCAAGCAAAACATGAGGAGCTTAACAGTCTGGGTACAGGGATGGATCGAGAGAGATGCTCAGCTTCTTGTGCCAGAGGGCATGGATTTGGTCATCATTTCTGAAATCAGCAGCAGTTCTCTCAATGAATCCCTTTGGCTGCCCCATGCCATGGCTAGTATGATCTAATATTTTGGAGTGCATCATGGTATGAATGCAATGCTGCTACATAAAGATAGGGTGGAATGGCTACAAAACCTGCTACAAAATAAATGCTGGAAGGATTTAGAATATACTGTTATAGCTGGTGGCAGAAAACAAACTCCAATGTCATCTATAAAACCACAGCTGACAAATTCAGAGAGTCATAGGAACCCATCTCAAAGAGAGATTTTTTAATGTAAACAGATAAAAATAATTCTAACATGGTACCTCAGCTAGGACAATGAATAAATAAAGACAAATGCAGTACAGAACTGATGCAGCAAATATGTGTGCTGCACTGACATGAAGACTGCTAACAGTGATTAGGTAGCCACAACATGCAAATAAAATAGATGCAAGAGTAGAAAAAATAAATGATTGAATGCAAAAGGAAGGATTCCAAGTACGCTAATAGAGAAATGAACTTCAAAGACAACAAATCTTACCTAGATTTGGCAGTTACGTTTCAAGATGGTTCAGGTAGCTGCATATGGGAATCTTTGTGCTAATAATAGATTCAAGGTCAAAGCAAAGCAAMATGGATGCTGGACAGGATGCTTTTGTTATGTTAATGATAGAAAATGTCTGAATCTGTATAATTTTTAGTCTATATCAATAGCTATAGCAATGCCACTTTATATCAGCTTGAAATTAGGTAATAATTGGTAATGCTACTTTGCAGTCCATATATTTTTCCTCTTCTTTTGTTGAGAAAAAAAGTCCTATTCTCATATCTGTGTGGCTTCACTGATTTTTTTTGTCATATACCTTCATTTTGGTCTAACTATATTTTATTGATTTATGCTACTCCTATGCTTATACTGGGCTATTTTATCCTATATAAATACTATATCTGGGCCTATTGAAAGTGAGGAATTTGTTCTGGTCTTCAGGCCAAGAGGTACTGGCAAGTTCAAGGCCTTCATGGCTATCTGCCACAGATTAGTTCTATGTTCTGTTTATACTGCTAGTGGATGTAAGAGCTCTGCTAGGATCCTCTTTGTGTTCCCTGCACAGGCTTCACCTAGTGTTTGTAACTTACGCTTTCAAGCACAGTGTATGACCATGCTTCATGAGAAAGACTATGTGTGACACAGGATGATATCCGTCATCATTGATCTTCCCACTCTTTGCACGGTTGCTCAGGAGGTTATGACCTCCAAGGTCTACTGCAGTGCCACCTTCACCCTTCAGCATCAGTCAGGCAAACAGCTATTGTTTAGATATCTTCACACTATAAAAACAGTCTGCATCAATGTGCAGGAAAGGGAGGATATACTTGCCAGATCTCACTTAAAGGAGGTTTCAGGGTGGAGTGATTCAGTTCCATGGTGGGATGCATGCTKAGTGCTGGATGCCTAAGAGTGAAATACAGACACCCACTCTGGAGATCGCAGAGCCTTTCTGAGCCTAATCATACTTGTGCATCTGTGAAAATGGCTTGAAGCTGAAAATGCTATTTGCAAAGACTGTGAATCTACAGAGGTCTCTGAACAGCAGACTTCACAGTCTCACTTCTGTCCCATTGGTTCGTGTCCTCAAGAGTCCATGCTGCTTCTGTCCATGTCTCAGCAGGGCAGTAGGCCTTTGTGTGCATTTCCATGGCTCCTGGGATGTGTTCACTGGAGACCTTCATCACTCTCACAGTGCTTTCACTGCTGCTCATTGCTGCAGGGCTCTGGGCCCAAGAGACTAAGAAAGCAAGGAGAATATCCCAGTGGTTATCTCTTTCCCCCAGTTGGAGTACAAGCTGTTCAGTGACTCAGTAAAACTGCGAATGCAAGAACTAGAGAAGGCAGTGGGATGCAGATGAATTAGGGCAAGCCTACATGTGTGGTTGGGAATGGATGCCTGTCAGAGGCAGTTCTACTTGGGAAGCGCTGATACGCTTGTCACTTCCACAACCTTATGCCCTATGCCTTGCCACCAGCAAGACAAACTGTGACATATTTAGTTGTTCCACACCAATATAGTCTGCCAGAGATGTCTGCCAAAGAAACAGACCTGTCAGCCTGCCAGTTAAAGAGCCTACTCTTCCTGGATATGGTACAAAACTCTTTTCTATCTTTGAGTGTCATGCTTTTATGGCAGAAGTTTCCTGTCTAGGTGTAATTTCCTAGGAAGAGCATAAACATGCCACATAAACATGCCATGGACCTTCCTTCAAATAAGTGTAATCAGAGAGATGTACTCGCCATATGTGAGTGCACAATTTGTTGCATGCTAGTGGATTTTGTATGCGTGTGTGGGAGGATGTCATCTTTGGAAAAGGCCTCTTCTCCTAGATCCAGTTGGTGGCATGGCAAGAAATAGGCTCTCCACTTCCCTGGATCTCATATTGAGCTTCTTTCTCCTCCTTCTCATACAACAGGAGAAGTTCTGTGTTGGCTTCTTAGAGAAGTATCTGGTACAACTCAGTATTGTAGGGACAGCCAATGGGCAGTCTTGGCAACATGGGATAGCATCTTGGTCTCTCCCTTTCTACACCAGTGTCATTATTTTGTTGCTATAAAAGAAGACAGACAAATAAAGATAGGTGACTTTTGCAGACTGCTAGCCTTCTCTTTTTGTAGTATGCTAACAGAGATGTGCAATGCATGTGTCAGGAAATGGCATGAAAGCATATTGGACTTGTGAGAACACTAGGAATACATAAGAATTGTTCTGGGCAAGAAGAATGAAACTTGGTGTAGTCCACGCCTATATTATCTATAGGGTGGGAACCCTGAAGTGAATTATCCTCTCTTTGAACCTCCCCAAAAGAAGTAGTTGGTTTAGTTCAGACTGAAGTCCTGACACACACTAAAATGTACACAGTGTAGATAACGAAGGACCAAGGCCTTAGAGCAAAACAAGAAACAAAACAAATAGACAATATGTTCTAATAATCTGCTTGCAGAAAACATTTAGACATCAAAAC